AGGGGGAGGGGAGGGAGAAGAGGGAAAGGGGGAGAGGAGAGGAGGGAGAGAGGAGAGAGAAAAGGGGAAGAGAAGAGAAAGGGGGAAAGAGGGAGTGGGGAGAGAGGAGAGGGAGGGAGAGTGAAGGGGGAGGGGATAGAGAACGGGGAAAGGAGGGAGAGAGAAAGGAGGGAGAGGGAGAGAGAGAGAGAGAAAGGGGGGAGAGAGGAGAGGAGAAAGAAGGGCGGGGGAGAGAAAGGCAATGGCTCGTTGGGTTATAGATAAGGCAACACACAGCATCATAGTCCGGTGTGCAAACTCTCCTCTTAAAACCCTCCAGTGTTGGAGCACCCACAATTTCTGAAGGCAAGTTGTTCCACTGGTGAATTGTTGCAACCATCGGGGAAACTTCTTAGTTCTAGGTTGGATCTCTCCTCGATTAGGGTCCATCCATTGTTTCTTCTTCTGCCTTCTGGTGCTTTGGAGAATTCTTCGTGGCCGCCGGTCAAATATTGGAACGCAGCTATCATGTCGCCCCTAATCTGCCATAATAAACAGACAACAGACAAACAGGGCTGACCCTATTCAGGAACTGGTGGGGAGGCCACCCAGAAATCCACTTCAGGGTTATTAGGGTTGAGCAGCTTTCCCCAAACCTGATCCAAATCTCCTGAGTGAGGTTGGAGGCTGGACTAGAAGATCTCTAGGGTCCCTTCCAGCTCTACTCAAATCTGATACAAACCTCCTGCGTGAGGAGGGGGCTGGACTAGAAGATCTCCAAGGTCCCTTTCAGCTCTACTCATTGATTGATTGATTGATGCGACGGACCAGCCTCTCCGTCGCCCGGCCGGTCCGAGACCGCTGCGGGGAATAAAGCAGAGCCGCGGCCGGTCGGGAGGGGGCGCCCGCGGGCTCCCTTCCGCCGATCCAGCGGCGGCGCGTCAAGGCGAAGCGAGGCGGGGATTGATGGGCGCAGCTGCGGCGGCGGAGGGGAGAGGAGCCGCGCGGGTCCCGCCGCTGCCGGTACGGACCGGGGGTTTGGCCTGCGGGTGTGGGTGTGCTACCTAGAGACCTCCAGCCTTGCAATTCTGGGCGGGGAAGGCGGAGGTTTGCTCCGGAGCTGCGGAAAACCGTTGCACCGGGAGGCCTCCGCCCTGGGGATCCCGTGGGTCCCCCTATTCGGATCATCCCCGAACCCAAAGGAGCCTGGGCGGGTTGCGTTGCATTGCATTGATTTGCTTTGCATTGCATTGATTTGCTTTGCATTGCATTGCATTGATTTGCTTTGCATTGCATTGCATTGCATTGATTTGCTTTGCATTGCATTGCACCCCGTGGCATTGAGGTGCGCGCCTCGTTTGCCTTTCCAGCTCAGCGGTGCAGGCCGGGGTCTCGTCGGCCCGGGGAAGGCGTGTTTTTCTGCGGTGCAAAAAAGGGCGATTTGCCCCCCCCCCCACCTTTTTTTTTCCTATCCGTCTTTCCTGCGGGCTCCGTGGAGCTCTTGCTGGGGAGAGATGAAGGGGACCGGCCGGTTCGCGCTTCCCTTATCCTCCGTGGCCCCGAATAAAGATGCAGAGAAAGAGATTTTAATCTGATTGTTGTGCCCTTCATCGGGGGATCCGCCGACAGTTGGTATGATTTCACCCTGTGAAAATACAAGGCCGCTTCGATTTGCAAAAGTAGGAGCTTTGCAATAAGAAGAGAGCATCCCTAACTCCAGGTTAAACTTTTGGGATCCTTGATATTCTTTGAGGTGGTGGTTGTTTGCTTGCAAACGTCTCATTACCTGACTAGGTAATATCATCAGTTCAGACTGTTCATACAAGGTCCTCGAGCAAGGTCCTTCAAAGTTGGCAACTTTAAGACTTGTGGGCTTCAACTCCCAGAATTCTCCAGCCAGCTATTCCCAGAATTCTGGGAATTGAAGTCTACAAGTCTTAAAGTTGCCAAGTTTAGAGACCTCTCTCCTAGACTGAACAAGGGGCCTTCAAACTTGGCAAGTTTAAGACTTGTGGGCTTCAACTCCCAGAATTCCTAAGCTAACATGACTGGAGGAGGAATTCTGGGAGTTGAAGTCCACAAGTCTTAAAGCTATCAAGTTTGAAGACCCCTGTCCTAGAGAAGGACTCAGAGAAGACAGCGTAGCCTTTAAACTCCCAAAAGTGCTTTTTTCCAAAAGGCAACTGGACTTTCTTGTTCCTTTGTTTTTCCTTAAAAATGTTTGACTTCGCATCCAAGAAGTTTCTTCAGTTCCTCAGAGGAGGAGCAAAACATTTTCAAAAGAAAGAAAACCCATTTTTTTCCAATCCAGTTGCCTTTTGGAGAAAAATATCCAATGGATGATTGAGAATCTCTATAGAACCCATAGACTTTAAAGTTCTGAATGTTTTTAAATTCGATTATTCTTTTATATTCTTTCTATATTTTGTGGGGTACCTGAATGGGGCCTTGTTAGCTTATTGGTGAGACTTCTTTCAGATAGATTGGGGAATGGATTGAAAAGGAGCGAAGATCCCATTTTGACACACACAAGAAGGAGGGAAGACACTTATCTGTTTTCTCATTTTTATTAAGTAATAATTTCAGAATATGATAGGACCTGGAAACGTTGCGTTCCCTTAACAATGTTTTGGTGAAAATAATCTAATTTGAAAATGGTTTAAATTTTAGATCTACGAAGGTCTTCAGAAGAGAAAGAACGGCTAGTGAACAAGAGAGTAGCTCCAGAATTAAAGGAGAGTCAACAAGGAGTTGAGTTTTGCAGTTCAACATCTAAACAACCAGGATGGGGCTCATTTGAGAGGAACGAGAGGTCCCCGTTCGTTGGGATGGAGGAGCGCTGGGAGACACAGTGGCAGCAGTTCCTCAAGACACTGCAACCGGTTCACCCAGGAGGTGACAAGTCCAAGATGTCGGAAGCTTCTCCCTGGGAAGACCCCAAGGTCTTCCTGGCCAACTTCGAGCAGGTGGCCCAAGCCTGTCAATGGCCCAGAGAAGAGTGGGTGGCTTGTCTCCTGCCGGCCTTGAGCGGAGGAGCCGAAGTGGCCTTTCAGAAGCTGGAAATGGGAGAACGGGAGAACTATGGGAAGGTGAAGGCTGCCATCTTGAAAGGGGAAGCCACCAAAATGGAGGCCCGGCGTCAACGCTTCAGGCAGTTCTGCTGCCAGGAGGTGGAAGATCCTCGGATGGTTTACAAGCAGATCCAGGAACTTTGCCACCAGTGGTTGAAGCCGGAGAGACGCACCAAAGAGCAGATCTTGGAGCTGCTGATCCTGGAGCAGTTCCTGGCCAGCCTGCCTCCAAAGCTTCAGAGCTGGGTTCAACCCAGGAGGCCGGACACATGTTCCCAGGCGGTGGCTCTGGTGGAGGACTTCCTGCGGAGTCAGCAAGGGACCAAATCGGAAGCATGTCAGGTACGATTTGATGATATCAGTCTTGGTCTTTTCACGATTCAAATGGGTGCTATAGAAACACTTAGAATTCTTACAGGGAATGATGTAGTTCTGTCTATTTTGAGTTCTAGTGATTATGAGGATTGTAAACACTACCGCCAATGTTTCTGAAGTTGTTCTGTTGATGGCTAATTCTTCCAAGTCCTTTTTCGTTCAGTCAAAATCATTATTGTTGTTATTTCTTGTAATTTAAGACTCATATAACAGAATAACAGACTTGGAAGGGACCTTGAAGGTCTTCTAGTCCAACCCCCTGCTTAGTCAGGAAACCCTACCCCACTTCAGACAAATGGCTGTCCAATCTCTTCTTAAAAACTTCCAGTGTTGGAGCATTCACAACTTCTGGAGGCAAATTGTTCCACTATTTAATGGCTGTAATTGTCAGGAAATTTCTCCTTAGTTCTAAGTTGCTTCTCTCCTTGATTCGTTTCCATTCTTTGCTTCTTGTCCGGTCCTCAGGGCCTTTGGAGAATAGCTTGACTCCCTCTTCTTTGTGGCAACCCCTGAGATATTGGAACACTGCTATCCTGTCACCCTGGTCCTTTTTTTCATTTAACTAGACATCCCCAATTCCAGCAAACATATTTATATATGTTTTAGCTTCCAGTCCCCTAATCATCCTTGTTGCTCTTCTCTGCACTCTTTCTAGAGTCTCAACATCTTTTTTACATGGTGGCGACCAAAACTGGATGCAGTATTCCAAGTGTGGCCTTTTATGTAGTTATGTCTTCTCTTTCTTAATTAATTTGACCCAATGACATCAATATATTGATTACGTATTAAGACGCATCCACAAAATTTTCTTTAAAACTTAACGGAAGTGACTGCATGATCTTTTTTGTGGGATTTCCTGATAATCTATCTATTCACCCATGCTTAACTTCAGAACTTAAACATGGTGCTACCAACAGTACACATAGACTGGGTGAAACCAGGCTTAGTAGCAGTAACTGAGAGGGATCTTGGAGTCTTAGTGGACAACCAATTAAATATGAGCCAACAGTGTGCGGTGGCAGCCAAAAAAGTCAATGCATTAATAAGTTGCATTAACAGAGGGATACAATCAAAATCAAGTGAAGTATTAATACCACTCTAGAGTAGACCACACCTAGAGTACGGCATCCAGTTTTGGTCACCATACTATAAAAAAGATGTTGAGACTTTAGAAAAAGGTGCAGAGAAGAGCAACCAGGATGATTAAGGGACTGGAAGCTAAAACATATGAAGAACGGTCACAGGAACTGGGCATGGCTAGTCTAGTAAAGAGAAGGACCAGGGGAGACATGATAGCAGTCTTCCAAGATTTGAGGGGCTGCTACAGAGAGGAAGGGGTCAAGCTATTTTCTAAAGCACCTATAGGCCAGACAAGGAATAACGGATGGAAACTGAACAAGGAGAGATTCAACCTGGAAATAAGGAGAAACTTTCTGACAGTGAGAACAATCAACCAATGGAACAGAAGTTGCCTTCAGAAGATGTGGGAGCTTCATCCCTGGAGGCTTTCAAGAAGAGATTGGACTGCTATTTATCAGAAAGGATCTGACTAACTTCGTTAATCTGTAAAGTTCTGTACAGGTGTTCCTTGACTCACAGCCATTTATATCACGATTGTTCAAACTTACAATGGTATTCAAAAAAGTGACTTGCAATGGGGGCTTGCCCGTATGAGCCGTGCAGTATTTCCATGGTAACATGATCAAAATTCGGGAACTTGGCAACCAGCCTGTGTTTACAACAGGCGCATGTCCTTAAGTCACATGATCTCCATTTGTGACCCTTCCCGGCTAGCTTCAAGTCAATGAAGGGAGTGAACTGAGTCTTTGGATCCACTTAACAACTGCAGTGATTCACTTACAACAACGGTGTCAAACTCGATTTCATTGAGGGCCGCCTCAGGGTTGTGCTTGATCTCGGAGGGGGGGGCGTGGCTGGGGGAGGACATGGCCAGCTTGACCTCACTCATGTCATGGACACCTGTGGTGGCCCAAACACTCTGCCAATGAAAATGGGCTCCCGTGCTCCATATTCGGCTGGGACTGTGTCCTGCAACCCTCTGCCAGCGACAACGGAGCTCAGGGGGGCACTCCATTTTCTCCGTCGGTGAAAACGGAGCTTCGTTTTTGCTGTCAGAGGCACCGCGGGCCGGTCCTTCATTGTTTCCAGGGCAACCCCGTGGATCAGATCTAAGCACCCAGCTCGCAGTTTGACACCCCTGATCTATTCCTGAACAGATTCCGGGTTTTTGGCACAATGAAACCTGTTGTTCTGAGTAGGACTTGTCTTCCCTGTTTCAGGGGCCACCAAATGAAGAACCCGCCAATTTCGAATGTGCGGAGAAGGAACCCTTAGAAGCCGTGAAGGGAGAAAATGTCGAAGTGGAGATCGGTATGCTGGGTAAGAATGCCCTAGGAACGGGCAAAAACCAAATCCCTTCTGCATTTGTGGGATGCTTAAACTGAGGGCAGATTTCTTGACCTCGATCAGTTTCCTGGAAAGTGCCAATTTTGATAAATGCAATAAGTTAGATGGATCACCAAATCTGGAATAGCCAAATTCTGAAGGAACAATGTTCGGCATGGCTATAAGATACACTTAGTATGCTCTTTTTTTTTTTTTTTTCAATCTCAGCAGCAGTTTTAAGATGTCTGGACTTCAACTTTTCCCCAGTGGAATTCTGGGAACGGAAGTCCACGCATTTAAGAGTTGCCAAGGTTGAAAAATGTCAATCGAGAAGATCTCATGGCAGTTGTACAATAAAACACAATAAAAAAACGCAAATTGTAAGAAAATCACAAAACACAACTGGAAACAGTAAACAAGAGCTTTATTATTAAGCTTTTGCAAAAGGGAATTCTGCTTATAGCAGAAGACATCTTTCCCAGGAAGGCTGGGGAATATATATATATATACAGGTTCAAATATACAGTCTCTGCCCCTTTCCTGGGTTCACAATCTATCCAACTACGTAATTCCCTACGCCACACCCATAGCGTATCACCTGTTTCCCTTTCTTTGGAAACCACCCTTGTTCTCATGGCATCTTCCTGTTATGTTCTTCTGAACACAATGGATCATTAACCAGTTCCATTCACGTCAGAATGACCCTAGCATCTCTTACATTAATTCTCAAACCAAAATACAAACCCCCATGTTCCAGCCAAAAACCTGACATTTACTTTAGAACATAACACGTTACAAAACATGATATGCTTATATAAGTGTTCAAATATCTTTCTAGAAGGTCACATTACGAACAAAAATGGAGTCTCTTTGGTTCTATACTTTCTTAGGTATAACAGGCAAATACATATGTTATTTCCACATATAACACAAATACCCCAAAAAATGGAAGCGTAGTTTGATAACAATCTTGCTACCACTTACTTCATTGTTTACAGTGGCTGATCGGTCTCCAAGGGGAAGACCTATGTGGGACACATTGTAGTAATTCAGACAGGTGGTGGCCAGAGCAAGGATTATAGAGCCAGGCCATTTTTGTCCTGGAAGAGTCTTAGCTGCCCATGGGACACAGTGGGAATTTGTGGTTTGGCATTAAGGACAGCTCTCTCTAACTTTGATACTTTGTACTGTTGAATTTTACTTGAGTTAACTAGTTATATGTTGTTAATAGGTTTTATCAGGTGTAGTTATAAGTACCAAGGGACACGGTGGCTTGCAGTCACAATTGAGCCCCAAATGCATGTTGTGAAGTGAGAAATATATTAAGTGAGTTTTGCCCCGTTTTATGATTTTCGTGAGGGACGCGGTGGCTCAGTGACTAAGACACTGAGCTTGTCGATCAGAAAGGTCAGCAGTTCGGTGGCTCGAATCCCTAGCGCTGCATAATGGAGTGAGCTCCCATTACTCGTCTCAGCTTCTGCCAACCTAGCAGTTCGAAAGCATGTATAAAAATGCAAGTAGAAAAATAGTGACCACTTTGGTGGGAAGGTAACAGCGTTCCGTGCGCCTTTGGTGTTTAGTCATGCTGGCCACATGACCACGGAGACGTCTTCAGACAGCACTGGCTCTTCGGCTTTGTAACGGAGATGAGCACCAGCGCCCCCTAGAGCCGGAAACGACTAGCACGTATGTGCGAGGGGAACCTTTATCTTTACCTTCTAAGTACCACCTTGATTGTAAAATGGTTGTCTTTGACATACAAATGTTTATTTAGCCACCATTCAAATTTGAGCGAAACTAAAAAAGGTGATTTATGACCGATCCTCACAATTATGATTGTCACAGCATCTCCACTGTCCCATAATCAAAATTCACCTCATATATTTACAACAGTTAAATGTCACATATCTTTGGGTTGCCGAGGTTGAAAAACACTGGTTTAGCGGAAGCCTGATTTGGATCGGAAGCCGTCGCTTTAAATATTTATTTATTTTCCTGATTTGATCGGTATTTTCTGTAAGAATCTTGCAATAACCTTGGTAAGAGCGGAACTCCTTGATCAAATGTCAAGGCATATTTCAGTCAGAGGTTTCAGGCCCAATCTATGTAGGAAGGAGGATATATCCTGTCCACCCTGAAAAGGAATTAGATGGGTTTATGTAGGGGGGGGAAACTGATTAGCAGTTTCTAAAATAGAAACGAAAGGGGGTGGCAAGAGAGGCAATTTCTCACCATTGTTCAGTTTCAAAATTCCTTCTGCAAAGATTGGTGGTTTTCAGTGGAGATTCTCCATCATCCAGGTCACGGGTGTCCCAAAGGTGCTTTTTTCAAGAGGCAACTGGACTTTCTGGTTTT